AGAACGAGCCAATGCCTCTGACGGTGTGGAGTGACGATTAACAGCACACGCTCTGGGGAAAGCCTGCTGAACTCAAGTCCTACCTTCACATTTCTCGCTCTTCCCTGGGGCTGTTCACGAATATCCCACTTCTCGTCCTCCCGAGTTAAATAGTGGATTACGGTCCCGGCCACCTTGAAGGTGGGCAGGGCTGTGGACTTCCTTTAATTCTTATGTGAGCAGAAGTGATGGGTCACTTCTGGGAACACGTCAGTAAGCTCTGCTGATTCGAGTGGCCCCTGGTCCAGCTGTATAGGGATCGCCTGGAAACGTGCTCAAAATGCAGACCCTCAGGCCCATCTCAGACCTCTGGAATCACAGTGTGCATTTAACAAGCTCCCCAGGAGATTCATATGTACCGTCCGGTTTGGGAAGCCCTGAGCCAGACACAGAGTATTACTGGTCACCTTCTCTTCTCCCTGCCAGCGGGACTGATGGCATTCCAGAGGGTGGAGTTTAGCCTAAGACCCTGGCCTAACCTGAGATGGACCAGAAGTGACGCATGAGAGAATGACACCTTTGTTCTAAGCCACTGAAACATGAGGGTTGTTAGCTTGGCATGACCTAGCCCATTTGGACACGATCACTCAGTATTCTGTGACCCTGGACAAATTAGTTCATCTCCCTGTGCCTCAGTTTCCTTGATAAAGTAAAATGGAGATAATAAGAGTACTGACTCATAGGGTTCTTATGAGGATTAATGAGGTAACATATGAATAGAGCCCGGCACCGAGTAAGCTCAATGTAAATATGGCTTCTATGATTGACACACTCCATCCCCACAGCTCAGTTCCAGTCTCCTTACCTCAGTGGCTGTCCCTGGCAATCCCCCCTCCCCCCACTCCAAACCACACATACTCCAGGAATGAGTATGAAATTACACACCAGGAAGAGAATGGAAAATCACTCCTTCTCAGAAAGAAGTTGGGGCTCTTAATTATGACAACTTGGCCCAGCATGCCTTTCACATCACTGTCACTCCCCTACTCTAATATTGCATATGCTCTACCTCACCCTCCGACTTCCCTTCCCAAATCCTACCTGCCTTTCAGGACACAGCTGGGGTCCCTCCTTCTCCAGGAAGTCTCCTCAATTACTTCTTTGCTATGCAATTTAGAATTTAGACATAGCATTTGTGTATTACACATAAAGCATTGTCCTGAACGCAATATTGGGTGACAAAAGAAATTCAAACTATGTAACAAATGTTTATTTTTTGTCTTTTCTTCAAGCTCAGCACATATGATTCTAACACCAAAGGATTATCAAACCTACTGCAGCGAAAACGGGAAGACACAGTGATGGGGATGGTGTGGAGATTGTTTGAGATTGTTTCTGGTTTAAGTCCTGGTTTTTCAAAGGGTCCAACAGATTTTTGACATTATAGTTCTTAAAGATGACAAATAGTTCACATTTTTAATATGATGATCATAAATAAAATGTAGTGTTTATTCTAAGCCCGAATAAATGATAAACTTTCTTTTCTCCTTGCCACTCTCTTAAAGTGTATATCAGGAAACAAAATATTTGAAGCCAGAATAAATACTTCAGCGTCTTGGATCTCTCTTTTATATTTATAAACCGACTTTTTAAAAAATCATGGTACTGAAGCAATTCTCCACAGCTGCACAATGAGCCACATTATTCAGTTCCAAAGTCACACAGGCCTTGAAAGAGCAGCAGCTCCGAGATTCAACCTCAACATTTTATATCCTCTAGGGCAGGGGGCAGCAAACCTTTTTTGTAAAGGGCCAGACACTAGATATTTCAGGCTCTGGGAGCCATAGGTCTCTGTCACCCCCACTCAGCTCTGCCATTTGTGGCACCGAGGCAGCCCCAGACAATATGAAAACAAATGAGCATGGCTGTATCCCAATAAAACTTAATTTACCGGCACTAAAATCTGAATTTCATATAATGTTCACAGGCCACTAAATTCGTCTGAATTTTTTTCAGCCATTTAAAAACGTAAAACCCCTTGTAACTTACGTGTGGTACTGAAACAGGCGGCAGTCTGGGTTTGGCCCATGGGCCGTGCTTCCCTCACTCCAGATCTGGACGCCCACGTTCACGCTTCTCCCACCACACCACAGAGTCTTTCGCCCAATAGTCACTTAAAAACCAGGTACGGAATAATCCCATGAGCCTCTGTTTTTATTAGCTCAACTTGAAAAAACATAAGGTCCTAAAGATGTCAAACTTTCACCAGAACTTCTATCAGTCTTACCCATAAAAATAACGTCACCCATCACCCCTTTCCTCACCACATGCAATTAACAATTACCGAGTCAGAAAATAGTTGGCAGTTGTCTTCACAGATGAAGTCAATGTAGTCTCATTCCTTTGCCAAAAAGAATGGGAAACCAGCTCTTGATGCCTTTCCCCCCAGAGCTGTTCAAGGCCAGTTGCTGCAGAAACACTGGGAAGGACAACGTTTGGCTGCAACAGGGGTTTTTAACTGGGAAGCTCACTACGTGAAAAAAAACTTTAATTACTTTTTTTAAAAAAGAGCTTTGGCTTTGCTATTTTTACTGATACTCATTTTAAAAGGAGCAGTGCTTAAAACATTTTAAGTCCACATGTCTCTATGGAAACCCAAGAGAACTATTATTTTTATGGCCAAATGACTACCTACCTAGAGTTCTATATCCTACTGGATCACTATAGCCATCTGTGATATCAGAAACATCTTAGACTTATTCTTCCAAAATGCGATCTTACCAGATATAATTAACATAATTACTAGTCTTGTTGAGGAGATCAGGAGAGAAACAACTTATTTCTGAGGCTTCCTTTTAATTTTTAGTAAGACAGCGCTATTTAAAATATTCTTATTAGCAAAACAATTTTGTAAATTTTGGCAAATATAAGAGGAAGAATGCAATCAAATAATTTAACAGTTGCTTTAAAATTTACATCATGAATATTCTTCTTCTCCTTTCCATCAATGTCAAATATATTTTCTCTTAAAAATGTAACCATTTCTCTCCCCAAACTGCTTACTCCTTGGGAGAAGGAAACAATAATTACATAGTGCAGAAATCAAATAACACCTTCACCAGATGACCAAAGTTAACATCACCAGTGAAGGACAGATGGCTTTTGGGTACCTGCCGATGTGATACTCTGAATACATCACATCACCGAAAATGCATAACCAGAATCTAATCATGAGAAAACACAATAATAATAATAATAATAATAATAATAATAATAATAAAGAACACAAGAAAGAAAAAGTTGGGGGGGGGAGGTTGCAGGAGGACTGTATTATTTTTTAAAATACCAATGTCATAAAAGACAAAGAGAGGCTATGAAAAGGTTCTAGACTAAAAGAAGCTAAAGATACATGACAACTAAATGTAATACCTGAGCCTAGAATAGATCCGATATTGCAGGGGATAGGAGAAGTTCTCCAAAGAACAATGTGGAGTCAACTGACAAAATTAGACTACAAATGGTATATCAGATAAAAGTGTGGTATCAATGTTAAATTGATTGAAGTCAAAAACTATATTGTGATTATATAAGAGAATATCCTATGCTTAGAAAATACTGAAACATTTCAGGGTAAATGATGTATGTAACTTTCTACAAAATGATGTGGGAAAACAATTATATATTCATATGGATCTACTGATCTATCTTTCTATCTATAGAAAAAACAGAGAGCCAACTGATAAAGCTAAAGGTACAAAATGTTAATGAATAGGTTTAAAGAATAAGGGACATGTGGGTATTTTTTCAACTTTTCTCTAAGTTTTAAATTATTTCCAAATAGAGAGTTTAAAGAAAATTTAACAGTTCTTGCCTACATTGGAGTTTTAGGCTATCTATTTTCTCTCCATGATATTCCAAATACAACACGGGAAGAGATACTTGTGCCAAGTAACAAGAAAGTGCAAAGATATTTTAACATGATCTTTTATCAGTGATTAAAGCCTGCCAAAGTATTACCCATTCTCAGCAGAGTCTGCTGCAAAACCCAGCAAACACTGGATACTGCAGCAACTTAGATGCCTTCATGTCCCACTAATTTCTCTAAACAGGGCCCAGATTCTAAAACCTTTTTACATCCCACAGCTTCCAGAATTATCTCATGCACAAAGCAAGTCTCTCAGCTAGTTTCTTAGGCACTATCAGTATCTATCAATCATCTTTTGAACTGGAGCATCTGAATATTTTAAGCCATGTCTAAATAGCTGGAGAACGTGGTACTCAGGAAGCAGGGTCACTCATCAGATAGGCACAGCTCCTCGCCACCTCGCCACTTCGAAACTGCTGTCAGCATCACGTAGCCTCAGTGTCTATGACTCCACCACAGTCCTCTACCAGCACTGGAGGTGCTGCCTGTCAATCTGCGATAAGCCATCTAAACTGATTCCCTAGCCCCCTCAACAACAACAAAAAACAATGGAGGGAACTGTGCCTAAGACCAAAAGTTAAGACAGACTTTTCTATAAGGTAATCACTGGAGAATCAAAATGGTCATAACCAAAACTTAAATTTTCATTCATGCTTGGGAATTAGGAAATACCCGTTTGGCAAAACACAACAAAGATAGACATATTTGTATCGTTAAGTCTTTTCTATCCCTCCCTGTTTATAGTTTTCTTATTTTCTTGATCTTTTTGGTAATGACTATGGGTTAAAATACTCATATGCTATTTTTGGCTTTGGCTTTTTATCCTAGCTATGCTCCTTATTATTCATTTTCCCCCAAATTTCAATCAATAATTGTATTTAACAAATGTTTACCAAGAACCTACTTGGCATAAGAATGCTTAGGCTGGACTTACTGGGTGATACTCTCTAAAGGAAAGATTCCAAGTTTTTCCTCCAAGTAATCCCCGACAAAATGATATGAAGACAATAAGTGCAATGAAGTCTGCTTGCAGAAAAGATAAGGAGCCAGAAATGAATTATGACCACTGCAAATCGGATAAATTAGTCAAAGCACTAAAATTTAATGAGAGGATGATTTTAAAAGCAGGTGAAATTGAAGAGAAGTCACATGTAACATTATTATAGATTTAAAACCACGCATATTCTTCTCTATAAAACTTCTCAAATGCAGTTAAAAACACACGTACAAAACCAAGCAATTATAAATCCTCTGAAGCATGTAACTGATTAGCTGCTACTCTCAGCAATTTAAAAGTACTTTCACCACAATTACATTCCAGCCTGTAATGTAATTCAAAACAAACAAGTCAGAGACATCGCCCAAATGGCAGAACCAACAAATACAGATGCTTTGCATCAAGGAAATGAATCCACTGAAGAAAAGCAACCGAGGAGCTGCCGCGGTGCTGGGCTTCCGGTGGAACGGCGAGGCCCCCTTCTGGGCAGAGCCGGCGCACTGCAGGTGGCCTGGAAGGCTTGGCTCTGCCATCAGCGCCAGCCCGAGCGTCTGGGACTGCCTGCTGTGGGTACCCTTCCCAGGGTTGTGTTCACGTTTTACAAATTTAGATCTTCAATTCCAACTCTAGATTTTTATAAAAAGAAAGCTGTGTACGATTTCAGATTGAAGGAGCCATTCCATTTAATTGTGCAACCAGCACTCCCACCATCCATGGCCGCCCATCCCCTTTACTCTGTCCTCCGTTTTCTTTTTTGCCATATCCGTACCGCCCCCCGAACGTGCTGGATAATCTATTCCGTGTATTTTCCGGCTCCCCTTGCTAGAATATAAGCTCCTCGAGGGCGGGGTTCTTCATTTAGTTCGCTGCTTCAAGGAACAAATGGAGCCTGGCACACCCCAGTTATGTAACAACAAAGCAGCCGTTGTCCCTTTTATGCTTTTACCTTTTATTTTTAAGACTATTCGTCTTTAAAGGGGTTACAAGTAAGGTCTCATTATAGCAATATGCTGTAATTTTAAAATGATACCTAAGCACTAATTTTAAAAATGTGTTTTCTCTAAATGCTTTATAAAAGCAAAAAATCTTTTCCAAGGACCATATAAACATGGTCTATGTGTATACAACTCATATACAATTTCCAGGGACGTCACGGGCCCCTAAAACCCTGGGAGAACATAGCGGCTGCAAAGAATGAAGGCCCCGATTTGGACATTCCTGGCGTGGGGCAGGTGTGCGCGGTGCGGCACGCCCCCGCCCAGACACACGCCCGGAGGGGGCTGGGGGCGCGTTGCTGGCACCTTCCTGCGCTCAGCATGATGGTTCCCGCAGGAAGTGCACGCACTGCTTACTAATTTCTAAAACCTCAACCTTTAAACTATCCCCTTCCTAACATGTTCTTTCAGCTTGTGGAAAAGCTAATAGTTGATTACAACTGGCGGACTTTTTAAAAGTGCTAATTTGTTCCTTTGAACAGAGCAAATGATGAGAGACCATTTTCCCAAGGGTTAAGGAAAGTATATAACATTTGATTCAGTGATGTCACCGGCTTTCAGTCCAAGAATTTCATCCAGGGGCATGAGTCCCTCATTAGAAGAAGTTTAGGATTTCTGACAGTCCTTTTTCCGAACCTTTGATTTGGGTGCTGTGAAAAGAACAGGAAAGAGAAAGAGAAAATGACGAGGTAGGCCCGAGTGACACTCTCTTCATACTGACTTGTTTTCCCGGAGGTACGTTATATACAGTCGGGGAGTACTGACCGTTGGGATTTTCTTGTTTGTAGAAGGTCTTTAACATTTCCACGGCCTCCTCGGCCCGATACCCAGGGATGCACTGATGGGATAAGAGCATCGAGAGTGAACACAGGCCCATGCAGATGTGTTATGTCCCATAAGAACAGCAACACAGACAGAACGAGGGAAACATTTTTTAGATAATGTTAATATACTCTGTGGATATTAGTAACATGGGTAAGGAAGGATATTTCCAGAGAATAGATGTATGGCTTCACTCAGAAACATCTCTCCATCAATTATTATTTCTCAAGCAACTACTATTGAAATTACGAGCTCTGTGATCTTGGGTAAGATAGTTCGGCTCTATGCCTCAGTTTCCTCATATGTAAAATGTAGTTTATTATAGCAATCAACCCAGAAGAATTGTTTGAGGATTAAATGAGATTAAATAAAATAATACCGGCTAAATACCTAGCACATCCTAAGTACCCACTTGAATGTTTGATGCTGTAAAGCTACGGTCAGGAGTCCACAGCTAAAAAGGGTCTGGTAAGAAGGGTTTTTATATTGTTAAAGGGTTATTAAGAAAAGACTATCCGACAGAGACATAGGTGGCTCACAAAGGCTAAAATATTTACTATCAGGCTCTTTACAGAAAAATTTGTTGATCCTTACTCATTATGGAGGATTTTTTTTAAAGTGTTCAGTTGTGCTATCTTTGGTACCTAACGGGAAAAGAGATCAACATTTGAAAAACTAAGGAATTGTGGTAACAGTAAGGAGATGAAACTTGAACTTGCCTTAATGACCGAGCCTATTTAAAGAGACTAAGCAGAGCATTTCAGGGAAAGAGTAAGAATAAGCGTGGGTTCTGTGTGAGGAAACTAGCTGATGGGGTCAGGGGTGATTATTAAGGGAGTACAGGGGAAAAAGTGAAAGATAAAATACGGTCGAAATATATAGGGCTTTGAAGGCTTGTCACAGGAGTTTGGACTTAATAGGGTGCACCTTTCTGAGGTGCATGAAATGACACGGTGAACGGAGATGTCAAGGAGGCACGTCTGGGAGCAGCAGACAGAGGAAGGACCGGCGAGCAGCAGCACAGGCACTGGCAGGCGCGGTCCGCTGCTCGGAGCGAGCCTCGCAGTCTCTTGTGCCTGCAGCGGGCTCCTGCCTGGGCCTACAAGCCCCGCAAAAACCTTCCCCATCAACACAAGTCACCTCCCAGGAGCTCAACATTTTTGGAGTCCACATGTAAGTGAAATCACCCAGTGAGATCAGACAGATCTTTCTTGGTCTGACAACATAATGCCCTAGAGATCCATCCATATTGTCGTAAATGGCAGGATTTCCTTCTTTTTTATGGCTGAGTAATATCCCGTGTGTGTGTGTGTGTGTGTGTGTGTGTGTGTGTTTATATCATATTTTCTTTTTTATAAGCACAGGGTAGAATGGTGGTTGCTAGGGTCACAGGGGTGAGGGAAATAGAAAGATACTGGCCAAAGGGTACAAACTTTTCATTACAAAAGTTAGAATAAGCTCCAGGAACCTAAAACACAGCATGATAGTTAACAATAAATACTATATTGTATACTTGACAGTTGCTACGAAGGTAGAGCTTAAATGTCCTCACCATAACAACAGCAGCAAAATGGTAATTATGTGACATGAAGGGTGTGTTAACCTTTCACAATGTATATGTATGAAATCATCACGTTGTATACCTTAAACTTATACAATGTTATATGTCAATTATATCTCAATAAAGCTGGACCAAAAAAAAAAAACAAAACCAAACCAATAACCTTCCTTCTATCCTGTCCCCCAAGCAAGTTGCTACCCTGCTCCCGAGAATTTTCCAGAGTCGTGGCCGTCACTTTGGGGCTGTCATTCCCTCCTCCACCTCATCCTCGCTGGCTTGCGCTCCCAGGTCCATGCAACTGCCCCCCCTCAAATATCCCCAGGGCCCCTATTGACCAGAATATTGGTCTTTGCATCCTCCTCCACTCTGCAGTCGTAGAGACTGCTGACCACACTTGCTTCTTTTTAGAACTCTCTCTTCCCTCGGCTTCCCAATACTTCATCATTCTAAGCATCGTCAGTCAGCCCCCTTCTCTCCCGGCCTTGTTGCGCTCCTCTACAGGTTTCCCAACTCTCCTCTGGCTCTCTCACAAGCACCCATGTGCACAAAGCGCTATCCTCTCACATGGAGTTAGAGCCACAGTTCCTAACCTTGTTCTCCACCTTGGCTGCTCAGCAGACTCGTTTGGGAGCTCTCATAAAAAACGTCCATGTTCCCCCACGCCCCAGTCTTCTGATTCAGTTGGGTATGGGGTAGGGATGGAGCACAGACATGCTTCAGTTCTAACATGCAGTCAGGGAGGACACCCGCTGAGTTACAGGTGGAGAAGGAAATTGTATCTCTCTAAGATACCAACAATATTTTCAAGTATCCATTATAGCTACAAATTTGTGGCTTTAATAAAAAGCACACATTCTTATCAAAATAATTTCTTTTTAATGGAGCAGGTATTATAATCACCATCTTCTTTGGAAATAACAGTTCTGTAGGTCTCCTTCATTCAAGTTCATCTTGAATGTTTATAATATAGCACTAAAAGGATCCTATAATTCTGCAATATATAAACAGCATTCCACCTCCCACAAACTCACTACCCCCTACACACACACACACACACACACACACACACACACACGTGACCCAGCAAATAAAGGAAGAAAACACAGCACCCAGAAGCCTGAAGTATCACTGTTTTTTTTAGAATCTCAAAACACTTTTAAAAACATAATGTGGCATTGAACCTGGAGATATGGCTTTAAACCATGGCCATTCAGCTCGATGGAGCCAACTTGGCCAGGTACACACACTGCAAATGAACGTGTTTTTTGGCTCGGCCAGATCAACTCTGTTCAGGGGCGTGGCATGTAGGAGAGTACTGTGAACACTCAGTGTCATTGATGTGTTGGAAGAAGTGTTCCACCCGTGTCTCCTATCCAAGGGTTCATCTTTTTCTGCCCAGAAACTTTGAGAAATTCTTTAGATCTTTCTCATAAATGAAGTACAAAGTCAGCAATTCAGAGCTTTGTAAGCAAGAGCTTTGTAAGCAAGCTTTGAGCTACTCATAAAAGTGATCAGAAAAATCAAATCACTTTGCAGAGTTTCTAATGATCAAGCTAATTGTGTTTATGCTCCATCACTCCATTACAATCTCTTTTCTGAGGCAGTGTTACAAGTCGCCTATTCTCAAATGTACAGGACTTGCTAGGAAAGCTCATGTGCAGCTGGGAAAACGCAGAATATTTTTCAAAACTTGTTCTCAGTGGGGTTCAGCCACATGTAGCTCTTCATAGGTACTTAACATTCTCCTAAGAAGCTCTGAGTCTCTGAATTTAACTGCCCACCATGTCCAACATTTGTTAAATCCTTTTCTTCTTAAAGCAAAATACTTTTAGGATTAACCTCACATCTTGGAGAGAAAAACAAGCAAACCAGTTTATGAAAACATATATGTCTACAGACCAAACGCTGAAATAGAAATTCCTACTGCTGATAGCCTTAAACATAAACGTTTGGGAGAAATGGCAAGATTAAAGGGAAAGTAGAATTTCTAAGAGAACATGAAAGACATGTGGATTCTTGGGTCTGGAGGGAAATGTCAATGTTGAAAATGCAGGGGAAAAAATAACTTAAATACAGGTATTGATTGCTAGACACCAAAAATAGTATGTCAAGCAAAATAATTGAATTTGTGCAAAAATATTGTATGTTCACTGTAAATAGCATCTACTATCACTGCCAAGGGCCAAGCTTCACACAAACTTGTTCTAGTGTGGAGCTGGGAACACTGAGTGAAAACTCCAACGCTGGTATAATGTCTTCAAACATACCTGAAGCTGTGGATGAGGACTGTCAGGAGATACCTCAGAAGGCTGGGGACGCTCCTTTGGTAGGGGTCCTGTTCATTAAGAAAGCTAGGCACTCACCTGGAAATGACTGCCTGTCATCCAACAATGGGGCATAAATGAACTCAACCAGTAGTCCTGAGAGTCCATCTAATTCTAGCATGGCTTTTGGTATACCCATCAAAGGCTAACTATTCACAAGCCAGTGAGGAGATTAAAGTCACTGGAAAGAAAGAAAAAGTATCAACAGCTGATGTTACCTGAAATGGCGTCCCAGTACTTGGTAAATCCGCAGAGGCAATATCTAGAACAGAGCCACAACCCCCAAAACGTTCATTCTGACAGCCGTACACAACCAGCGGGATTTATAAGAGAGAATTAAGGTCCTTCAGGAATGTGCAGTTCAGGTGTGTATGGTGAGAAAACGAGGGTAGGTCTACCACCAGCCATCCTGGAGAGGGAAGCTCATGCTATGCTTAAAGACAATTAAGCTGAGGCTTAGGCTTAAAAAAAATACAATCCAGTTACACAAAAGAAAGAGGTTTAAAGGATTTAAAAATTAACATCTCATAATTCCAAACAGAATGAAAACTAAAAACCAAATATCCCAATTCTAAATGTTCACAGCTTGGTGCTCTGCTCTGTGGTTTTTACTAAATCGACTTTTTGGATTCATTAGAAAACCGGAGCCAGAAAGGAGGCAGGAATTTAATGTGGGAATTTTCACCTTTTAAAAATACTGATTGCTCCCTGTTCTCACCCCAAATATTGGGTTGTCGAAAAAGTCATGACGTATTTTTTCTGGTTTTCATTGCAAAAATGCGTCACGATTTTTCCGACAACCCAATAAAATATAACCTGTGCCCCAGTACAAAATAGACTAAAGTTGAGCCACTGTGTAAGGCAGGGCAGAGAGAGAATTCTGCTGACCAGAAGTCCCATCTGTGTGAAGCAGAGACTGTACATTTTATCACACTCAAAACCCTCTGCATTGTTTTCAAAGTGATAATTTACACGTATATAGCAAAATAAGTAGATAAATAATATGTAGTATGAAACTGAGTTTTCCAATTATTAAATAATTTTTTAAAGGTAAACTGCAGCACTCGGTATGTGTGTCACTTACTCTATGAAAGACAATTCAAACAGCTGTAACTTGATCAATTTCCCATTTATTTACAATTATATCATAAATGATTGGCTTGTTTTATACTTTGTATTGACTTCTTTCTGACTTGAAATTTTTCTTATATTGTAATAGGTATTCATGGCAAAAATACACAAAAACATAAACAGAGAAAGACAATTTTTAAATCACCTATAGTCTATTGTCCAAAGGCCAAACATAGGTGCATAGTCTTCAAACCTTTTCCTAGGCAGTTTTATAATCAATACTTTAACTTAATTTATAATTTGTCCTCACATGACACTTTAAATTAATCCTAAGCTTTTCTTTCTCTAGTTTATTTCATACTTAACATGTTTATAGATATTTCTTAAAAAAATAGGTCGTTTTACTATTTAAAACATTTTCCTAAACATTTTTGGCCAAGGGATACTATATTTTATAACGTGCACCTCCTAGAATTTGTGCCATACATCTCTGTTTCCTATGTTAGGAACAAGTCACATGTCTGGCCATTTTCTGGCGCAGAGGAAGGGCACAGACCTTAAGTCAGGAAGTCAAAGGATACTCATCAGGCGGAGCGCGGCGGCGCACATGACACAAGGCTCCACGGTCACGTACAACACGGTGCTTCCAAACACTTCAGAGGGACTCTTGCCGCTTCGACGACACCAATCAAGGGCCTGATCGATGGCCACCATTTCTGCATGTCGTGTAGCCTGAAAAGAGAGAGGCGCTTGCACTGACATTGCTTGCTACACGTAACTGTAGTTTACAAACCCTCAAAAATAAATACAAAAACACGGGCCTATCATTTCTTCCAACGTTTAACGAATACAGACTGCTGGATACCCTTAGCAGTGGCCAACATAGTCCCCAGTTCAAGTACCAAAAGCTCACCAACAAAGGACGTTTTAGGTAAGGACCTGAGAAGCTGGGGGACACTCTTTCATTTAAAATGCCACAGGGAAGATAAGTCTACAAAACAAAAACAAACAAAAAAAGATGAGCCTAGCAATTCTGATTATTTTAGGGGAAGCTTGAAACTTTCATAAGCATGTGATCCAGTTTCAAGTGTGTTTTCAAGGCTGTCAGTGACCTCACTATAAGCAAGTCTATATGTATTTAGTTTACTGGATGTCACCACTGACATTTTCTTTGGGATGAGATTTTATATCCTGGCGGACACTAGAGAGAAGCAAAGATTTGATATGGGTCTCTGACACCTCGTGGGGAGAGGGGGGGACAGCAGAATATAGGAGAAATCACACAGCATTTGGAATCAACCCCACTTAATTTCAATCCTGACCAGGACGTTATAAATTATGTGGCCTAGGACAAGTTATATAACTTCTCTAAGCCTTACTTTCCCCCTATGGAAAATGGGGGACACTGCCATCTATTCTTCTTAAAGCAATCTGAATTACAGGAAGCACATGCCATTGATGTTGTAAATGTACTCTGCTATATGACATTATTGATAATATTCACGATCATCACACTCATCAACAAGCTTACAATGCTAACTAGGTCCAAGTCACTGTGCTAAATTCTGTGGGGGATCAAAAGTCTCAACAAGCATAAAATCTGGTGGGGCGAACAGAAAGGCGCTCATTTACCTGAGACACAGGGCAGCCTGTGGAAAGTGCTGACACAGTGGCCCCAGGTGCCAGGAGAGCCAGAATTATCAACTCAGAGCTAGGAGGTACTTTAGAGAGGTTCCCAAACCTGATGGCATGCCAGAGCCAACTAGGGGGCTTAAAACAAAAGTCCCCCAACTTTTAAAAAATCAGATTCAGAACTACTAAATCAAATCTCTCCATCATTCTCAATAAATAATTGTTGAACTGAATCATTTCAATCAACTTCCTCTTTCATGACAGAAGCAGCAGAAGCTAAGTTAGGACATTAAAGACAAACAGCTGGGATGGGGTGATGGTGGCGGTGACAGGAGTGGGGGTGGGGTGGGGGGTATAAAAGCCAAAAGTAGGACTCAGGTCTCCACATTTGGGGTCAAGAGTCTTTCCATACTGTGATTACAGGATAATCTTCTATAGGAAACAGAATACCAAAATAAATCCAGTCTAATTTCAAGGTATAGAAGAAACACAGGTCATTGGGCAGTTAGCTGGATGTTGTTAGAATAGTCAAAGTTCTTATGTTAAAGGTATTGCACCGAACCACAAAATACAAATAGGGAGATATGACAATTATCTAAAATACAAAATTCCACTCCCAAATAAGTATCTATATTCACTAATTGCTATATTGTATTATTTATCTCACGGGTGTTTTGACATCCACATACAAATTGCTTTGTTTTGCCTGTGTTTTGCCAAATCTCCGTTTTCTTTTTGACAGATGTGATGGATGAACTTTAAAGTCCACATAGCACCAGCACCAACACCAGCTTGTTCTCTGGCTCCCAAGATCACATGATAAGATCAAAATCTGTGTGAGTGGTGTTAACGGTTATAAGCTCTCCTTGAGTCTACCGCGTACTTCTTATAATCATAAAGTCTGATTCTTCATTTATACTTACTGTGATACATTGTTGTGATACCATATTCAAGAAGTGTTGCCTTAATTGATGAACTTCTCAACCTAACCACAATAAATTGAAAGTCACACAAGCTATTAAATAAAGTACACATACTACATGTAGGTGGAGATAGCTAGTCATGGAGACTTTATTCTACTGAATTATCTGTACTAGGAATAGCTTCTTTATACACTCTTTTATAAACTGGGGGTGATTTTTTAATTTACTAGGAGAAACACATTATTACTAAAGAGTGCAATATGGCTTACATTGATATTTTTGTAAAGTGGAATTTTCATATGTTAGATTTGCTGAAAATGGAGATAGACTCATTTCTTCTACACGGACACTCCGATGTAATAAAACCGACTCTTAGCTTTCACTCAAGTAATACAGGAAAACTCCATGAAATAGGAAATTAGCTCTGAACATTTTTATTGGTTCATTACATTTTCCTGAATTTTCCAAATTTTAAAAAAGTCAACATATATCACTTTTATAATTAGAAAAAAAGGCATTCAAAGAGATGTTTAGAGAAACTACCTTTCCACTGATACCTACGGGACGCTGCACAGACTCATCTTTTCATCAACTGATAAAGTCACTCCCCTCCCACCATCGCTGACCTTCGTGTGAAGTTATACTATTCAACTCACATACGTTTTTGGTTTGGTTAACTTCATTTCTTCCCTTCCCCACAACCTCATTGTTGTAGACCATAAGGCAGCCAACAGGAACTTCAATATTTTCTAGAGCTTCTTTGGCCTGAAAGACAAAGTGGAAAATCTAAGATGGAATGTTCAATACTGGGGGAAAAAAAAAACTACAGGAAAAAAATAGATGCAGCATAAGCAGTTATCACATGCAAAAAACTACTAGAACAAAGAAATGCAGCTGAGCTCTCCCTTTTCTCCAATACAGTTCAAGCGTTTAGTGCCTTCGTTCTCTGTTGCGTCCATACTGAGGGAGGCTCAGGAAGAAATCCCCTTCATAGAGCCTGAGCTCCCTGATTTTTTTTCTCATTGGAAGCAGAGGTGATCAAAACACTGTCATTGACTCTCGCTTTTAAGCACCTTTTCAGAGATAGTATATATATTTGCAAAGAGGTAGAAGAATAAATAACACTTATAAATCCTTTATTCAAATTCTGTCCTTGTTAAAATTCTACTTGCTTATTTTTCTTGTTTCTCTGAAAATGATAGAAAATATTCTCTAGAGTTCCAGTTAACACAAAGGCGACCAGATTGGATATCTCCCTGTGCCCACAATTTCTGCTCTAAGTGAGATAAGAAGAGCTAAGGAGCACTCTACGTAAAAATGGCACAACCACTTTGGAGAACATTCTGGAAGTTTCCTTAAAAAGTCAACATCCACATAGCCTAAGAACAAATTCCACTCCTAAGTATTTGTTTAAGAGAAGGGAATATATGCCCCCTCCCTCACTCACTCCCTCTCACCTCACCCCCCACCCCCACCAAAAAAAGACCTATAAACGAATGTTCATAATAGCTTGATTCGTAATAGCCAAAATCTGGAAAAAGCACAGGTGTCCATCAACAAAAGAACAGAGAAGCCAACTGTGGTCTAGTCACACGATGGAATACTACTCAGCAATAAAAAGGAGCAAACTAATGATACAGACAACATGCATGAATCTCAGACACGCTGGGTAAAAGAAGTTAAATACAAAAGCACGCATACTGTATGGCTCCCTTGACGAGAAGTACTAGGCTACACAAAAGTAAACTACAATGATAGAAATTGGAACAGTGGTTGCTTCATGGAAAGGGAGGTATAGATTGATTGGAAATGGACACAAGGAAATTTTCTGGGACGGTGAAAACTTTATCATGTAAGGGTATGGGTTACACAGATGTTGACATCACTCAAAGCTGAATGAACAATGCATTTAAGACCTGTACATTTCACTGTATGTGAAGTATACCTCAGTTGAAAAATAAGTTTAGGAATAATTTCACCACCACAATCCCAGGAATGGCAAACCAATCCTTTTATTTGCAAAGTCTTCCCTCTATCACCAGCTGCCCATTTCTCCTCTAGTCCTTCAAAAGAATGAACCATGGTAGCTCCGGGGCCCAGGACAGTTAAAGAATACTTTTCATGGGCAGAGCAGAAGCAGGCAGGTTATATCTAGGTCTGTCCTGGTACCACCTTGCGAGAGAATAAAGGAAGGTTGCAAACCTTGTGCTGGTGCACAATCATTTCTATCTCACTACAGTTAAAAGAATCCAAGTACAGCTGTTTCTAGAAAGGCACTGCATTTCTTACTTTGTCAGGCT